TCATCAACCGCTCCAAGGGTTTATGATAAGGTATATGAAATCGATTCTGAACTTCATCAACTGCCTCAAGGGTTTATGATAAGGTATATGAAAGCGATTATTAACCTCATTCACTGCCTCAAGGGTTTATGATAAGGTATGTAAAAGCGATTCTTAGCCTCAAATATCGCTTTCAGGTTGAATGTTAGGATATATAGAGTGATTCAAGAGTACCACGAACTGTCTTCAGGGGTTGGAGAATGACTGAATAGATGCTTTTTTCACCTTGATCGATGGGCGACACATGTCTATGAAAACAGATATGCAGAATTAATTTGTAGTTTTCATAATTGTATGTATCTAACCCTCGCTATCTATAGCATTTCATAATAATTAACAAGAGGATGGTAGAGTCCCAGAGGCTGGAAGAAAAGACATCCGTTATTTTCTCCACGTTTTGAGCTTCCTATTTGACGAAACTCTTACTCGATCATGTCTTAGAATCCAATATTGACTAACTAAGAAACGAGCGAAACTAGAAAATCTGAAGATAATTCGATCGAGAATCAAAATCTAGCATGATCAATAAAGATAAAAATCAAGATGATTAAAAGGAATCGTATGAATCTCTTTCTAGTAGTGACTAATCAATACAAACAGGATAGGTAAATCACCATAAACTGAGGAGTACGTAACTTGGAGGAATGATTTTAAGTGGTTGCTTCAGATGAATTCTCTGTGATGTCACACGAAAACGTTTACTCACTTTAATTGATGTTGATCGTTTACCATGTTCTCACATAAAATATTAAGCAAATAGCATTTGAAGTTCAGCACATTCTGTATTCATTTTGAAGATTTTGTTTGACGAAATCTAAACAAAAAAGCATGAGTTATTAATAGATGACGATTTCCTCTTCAAAAAACTCTGATTAAATTGAAAACTTACTATAAATCAGTACATTGTGACTACCAATTGACAACAATCACTGACGTAAATTATGAAACACATCTAAAAGTTCAAAGTAATTGCCACTCACCCATACGTGAAACCTTTCTATTGAATCCATGATCGTAATTCCATTAATCGATAAAAGAGATCGAACCCAAAGATCAAAAAGAAAAATTATTAAAAAGTGAGCAAGAATCGAAGTATTAATAACGTATTATAAAGCACTCAAGTTATCAAGTATCTCGTCTGAATATATAAATCGTATGCACGTTCATCGAAACTTAAATTTTACAAATGAAATGCTATTCTCAACTACATAATGCTACTGCTCCTTCGCTGGGAAACTTTAGTAGAACCACTCGACTCACTGATACGACGGCTACTTATCATCAAAAAAGATACACAGAACCCAGCCAATCCATTGTTTCTTTCTCTCCTTCGCCCCAATCAACGCCTCACATATGAAAAATAACGTCAGCACCTTACGAAATAGTTTATAGCTTCTCTATAAAAGAAACTCAACTAGAAAAAAATATACTCATCTTATTCTGTTTGAAGACAAGAAGTATCATTCCGCAGTCATCGACTGTAAAGTACAACTAGTTACCCAAATTTTACACAGTTTTGTTCACTAACCGATATGTATCAAGCGCGAAAAAAACTCCATCACCTTAAAGAAACAAATGCGTGTCTATAATTTTCTTATGAACCAAACATAATCTTGTAAAAGAACTGACGCTTCATCTTCAACCGATTAGAGAAAGCACTGATGTCTACCAATTAATTGTGAATGTAGATGTTTTCGTGATGAGTTAGAAAGTTTACCTTGTTTGAATGGATAGATAAAATTAATATATAAAGGAATCTTTTTCACATAGGAACACAATCTTCCACTTACTTTTGATATAAATCAAACGAGATGAAATAAAACATCATACTTAACTTTTAGTGGATCGGAGAAATCTTTGACGTAAAGCAATCCATTGAGAATAAGCACATATTCATACTAGTTTCCGTACGTTCGCTTCTTTATCTAAATATATAGAATAATTAAATGAAAATACAACCTTTAATGTACAAAAAAACTTCACATAATTCTCTGGATATGTAAAAAACGAAAATAAAATGAATGATGATACGTAACTGTAAGTGAGCCTATGAAGCCATTGACATAGATCAATTAATTGCGAATGAGCCTCTGTTCATAACACTTTCTAACGGTCTGCTTGTTTATCTAGATAAATAAGACGATCATAAAAAAAAGAAGATCTTTTCATATATAAAATAATCTTTGAAATGATTTTCTGGATATGTAAAATTCATACTTAACTTTCATTCGATTGTTAAAAACCTTGGCGCGAAGCGATTGATTCAAAATGAGAACTCGTTCGCACAAGTTCCGAGAACTATTCGTGTTTCTCTAGATAAATAAAATGATTAAATGAAGAAAAATCGTTCCCTGAAGGAAAAATTATATCAGATAATTTTCTTAAACTGTAAAAACACGAAATAAAATAAAATAGCATACCTAACTTTCAAATGGTTAAAGAAAGCATTGACGCGAAGGAGTTCGCTGAGAACGACTAGCTGTTCATTTTACTTTCTGAAGGCTTGCTTCTATATATAGAAGAATAAGATATTCAGATGAAGATGATTCACTTTATCTAGAAAAAAAAATCGTTTGGATAATATTTTCGGTTTGAAAGAAATCAAATCAAGTGAGAAATCATACTTAACTTCCATTTGTCTGTTGAAACCACTGATATGGAGCTATTGATTGAGAATGAGCACTTGTTTGTATCAATAACAAAGATACACTTGTTTATCTAGATAAATCGGAAGATTAAATAAAGAAAAACTATTACATCTGAAAAAAGAATGTAGTTCAGAAAATTTTATCAATATGAAAGAAACGAAAACAAACGCTACGTTGCACTTAACTTGGATAAAGTTGATGAAACCATTGACGTGGAGCCATTGATAGTGAATAAGCACGTGTTCGTAGAAGCTGTGAAACTTCCTCTTGTTTCTCTAGATAAATAAAAT